GCATATTTAGCTCTTGTTTGACAATTTTTAAAAATTTAAATTGTTTGTTAAAGTATCGTTTTCCACTATACATTCACACAATAAAATATTTTATACACAAATCAACAAAATTTTCTTACTTTTTAACCATACATTCTTCCAAAATACTATTCAAAACTTTTTAATTTTTCAAATAATGATTATCAAATAGGGCCTTACTACGTGGAAGTAGTTTTTAAATCAAACATTACCTTGTTAGTCCATCATTCCCCAACTATAAAAGCACACAACACCAAGCACAATAAATACATAACATATAAGGTCACACATGAACACAGGTTATACACCCTGTTGACCTCTGTCAAATTAGGAGTTCATTGAAATAATTGAAATCAGTTTATATCTTAAAAAGTTGAGTTTAAATCCCAGGTTAAGATCATCATCTTAGGACAGAACTTCCAGTTTAACTCAGCTCAGCTCGATATAACTTCCAACTCAACTAGACTTACTTTCAGAAGGAAGAAACTGTCGTCTTCATACTGGGAATATCATCACTACATTTTGATTTCCCTAACTCCAATCTTGAATCACGCCATTATCTAACCTAATCTTCTTAAAACAAGTGACAAAAATCATGGAAACCCCAAATTGTGAACAAATCACAATTTTGCAATGATTACTTCCCATCTCAACTCCATTATGACACATGGAGGCCAACCTCAACAGCCATCAAAATTAGGTTAGTGGCACCAGGGGTGGGCGCGGGTCGGTTCGGTTCAGTTCAAAAGAGAATCGAATCGAACCAAAATTTTCGGGTATCTAATAAATGGAATCGTCGGATCCAAATATAATTATGGAACCGTTCGGGTTCGGTTCCATTCGGTTCTGTACTATAATTAAATTTTTTTAACATTTATAACAATATTATATAAATACAACTAATAATACATTCAATGATTTCGAAATGTCAGAGACTAGTAGACTACCTTGTTCAAATGATTGCTACGGTCAAAGCTTTGGTCGGTGAAGGTCGCAGCTTCAATTGGAGGTCACGGCGTTGGGCGACGATTGTATAGGTTTTGGAATGTTAACGAGGCTACGAGAGTGAGTGCGAAAGTCGAGACGACGTTATGCACTTTAGTGTAGGCGTTTAGGGTTATTTAGTGGATTAGATCTTGTTGGACTAAGAAATGAAACAATAAAATGGGTAATTGGGCTAAAAAATAAAAAATTAGAAATGAAACAAATTATTGGGTCAAAAATTTGGATTTAGAAATTGTTAATTTGTTTAGAAAAAATTAAAATAATTTGATTTACTCAATATAAAAAAAAAATTAGAAAGATTCGGTTATTCGGTTCTTGATCTCAATTCGGATACCTATTCGGGTATTTAATTTGACAAGATCGGTTCGGTTTGAGAGATTTACCCAATCCTAAGTGACACACACAATAAAGTTGACATTGAGCTGATTCGATGTAAAACATGCCATTTGCCTATTTCTCTACTATGCTATAAATGGGACTGTAATGGTCCCCCCTTGAGTCTGAACTCACATTGTGTGAAATTCACCTCAAATCTCTCTCTACTTAAATACAAATGTACTCTTTTCTTATTATTTCAACAATATTTTTCTATTATGGCACAATTTGCTTGTTTCTGCTCAATTACCTCTTACAAATCCAATTAAGGGGGTGTTTAATTCATATTTTTTTCTAAAATATATTTTTCTCTTTCTTTTCAACCACATATTTTTCTTTAATTTAAAATAATATTACACGCAAATCAAAAACTTTTAATTTTTTTTAATCGCACATTCTCCATCAATCTACTATTCCAAAATATATTCTTCAAAAAGAATGAGGCTTAAACACAATGTAAGTTGACAAAATTGTTCTAGTAATTTTTTTTTAACTTCAACACACCCGATTCAATTTTAGGGAGCTAGCGAGAGAGGAAAAAGGAAAAGAAAAGAAAATATGGGAAAATCTTTCAAGTTTCTTCAAATATGTCATCTAAGAGTTTAATTTTTACACAAAAATTCAAGATAAGTTTGTTAAGCAATTTTATCTGTGGTATAAATATTTTTTAGATAAAATTTAGGAATTAATCTGAAAACTAGCAGTTCGAAGCGGTCAAGCAAGGAGGTGGCTTACGGACGAGATTTATTAAATATGTTCAAGTAATAATTTTGATTTTTTTTACATTTTCTTTTCTCATACTTCTCTCTGAAAAGATTGATTAATTGTTAATTCAAATGGGGATTCGTTGCTTAATTTAAATGATTAGAAATGATTTTTCTAGAATTTGACTCCGTACCAGTAAAGTGTTTAGTCGAACACTTGAAAGATTGGAATAATTTGAAATGATTTGACTCAAAAAATTGATAAAGAAAAAAGAATCATAAAATAAAATGAGAGCTTCTCGAAAAATTGAGCGAAATATATATATATATGAAAATTTTCTAGTTTCGGGAAGTTTCCTTTTTCCTATCTGATTATTTTGAAATTTTAAAAATGGTAGAGATAATGTTTTGATATTATCCTTTTTAAATTAAAAATCTTATTTAATTTAAAAAATAATTGAAATAATATCTTTGATTACTTCTTTTAAATTCATTATTTATATTATAGATAATGTTTTGATTTTATCTTTTTCTAAATACATTATCCTATACTTAGAAGTTTAAGATAATTAGGACTCTTTAAAATACTATAAATACCCACCTTCTGTCATTTTAAAAAACACTAACACTAGTTAACCTTTCCTTTCATAAATTCATATGCACCGGTAAAGACATTAATTTCCTTCAGTGACTCTATTCATGGGCTAAACATATTATTTCAGCGACGAATTTTCTCTTCAAGCCCGATTTTCCCTTAAGATTTGAAGGTAGGATAACACGTGCAAGTTGAATTATCCTTTCAATATCATGTATTTTACGTAACTTTATGTATTAAATCCTAATTGATCCAAGGGTCATCAATGAAATGAAATGTGAAATTTCCTTCAAGTTTCTCGAATGCATGAATAAGTAAGAGTATTCAATTATTTTCAGTGAAATAATAGTATGGAATGTTGTAATTTACAAGAAGAATGTCACAAGGGTGGAGAATGTCAACTGGGACAAGGAGTGTTACAAGTGTGGCAAACCAAGGCATTTGATGACAGATTGTCCATCAAAATTAAGTAACACCGTACCAACAAGAGTTTTTGCATTGATCGGAGCAGTATTAGGAGCATAAAATAATGACGTGGTGTCAGGTACACTTTTAGTCGATGAAAAACCTACCATTGGTTTCTTTGATTCGGGTGCAATGCATTCATTTTTGGATACCAATTTCTGCATAAATATGAGTTTCAACCAATTCCTATGAAATCTGAATTTGAAGTCACCATGCCTTCAGGATTTAATTGATCCTAGAAATTCTAATACTAATAGGATTTGTTGCTCTTAGAGCAAATTTAGTACCAGTAACTCTTCAAATCTTTAATATAATCCTTGGAGTGGATGGACTTTCAAAATATCAAGTTGTCATGAATTGTCAAAAAGAAACAATGAAATTTATTAGGACATCAAATTTTAACTTTCCCTCAAATTCTTCATCTCTAGTTTATTTAAGTCAAGTTCAAATCACAAAACTTAGGTCACTAGAAGAAATTCTTATGTATTTTATAATAAGCAAATTCTAGACCCTTTATGTAATGGCCTGGGTCTCATGCCAGACCATTCTTTTACGTGTTTTTCTATTTTGGGAGAATTTAAACTTATTTTACCCTTCACGGCTTTCCATTTTGTAACAATAAGAAGAATGGAAAGGCTCGTAAGTTAGATATATATTCCTAACTTTAGTATTTCTGTCACTTGTATAAAATTTCTTTAAATAAAGTACTGATGTAAGGTTATAAGTTGACCAGTTTATTGTTAAGAGTGCATAATTCTTTGAATACTCTTTAATTTAGGTCAAAGTAATGATTCTTTATGTATAACATGAAATTAACAAAATTCTTGTTAAGTTTAATTGCAGAATCAATTCTGTGAAACACAATAATCACATAGCCATAAGCTATTGAACTTGAACTTGACTTGTTTTAATGCCTTAGACGTTTGTCCAGGTCTTTTCCATTCTACTTCTAGTACAAAAATACACAAAGGTAAAATACGGAATACCACTTATTTGATAGATAGACGTAACTAAGAGATGTCTCGAATTTCATTGGATCTTGTCTATAGGATCATTTAACCAGTTCTGATACCTTTGCAAAATTAAAAGCTAGGGAACTACGCTATCACGAAAAATAGGATATCAAGTTTCAGAGGTTGGAGCCAATGATGCAATTTTTTCTTTGTAAGTACAGAATCTGAACTAGTAACACCTCATGCATTATTTGTAGCATGATAGTCTGTTCTCATTATTGCCACACATATAAGGCACACCCAAAAAAAAATCCCAAATATATGCCCTGTGATAATAGATTACAAATAATCCGGTTCAATTTGATTGAACCAAGTGCCATGCTTGACACGAACTACATTAAGGACAAACTCAACTCCAGGAGTATAGATGTTCCTAACATTAAGAGTGCAAATTAAACTAACTAATATACTGACTCATCTTGTTGCTAGTGGACCGTTCTATACATCACTATATAAGCTGAGGTTTATGTGATATCTATGTTCCAATTTGACGGAAAAAGTTGAAATATACGTAGTTTTATATAATTTTTTTGGTTTTCTTTAGCGTGAATTAGTATAAAGATACAATAAAGGTTTCCAATTCTAAATTGAATTAGAATGGTTTTATCTTGTATATATATCATTAATGTGGATGAATAATACATTTAATTTAAGCCATTATTAATTGATCTTACCTAGTGAAAATGGATACTTATAGGAGTCTCGATAAATTGTGACCCGTGATACCAACAGCCTCCATCCTAAATCCTTTTGTACAAAGCCATAAAAGCTTAGAAAATCGAACATACCTCTCTATTTCAGTAGAAAAACCATAAAACTTCATAATGAATATCAAGATATAACAATTGCTATTAGCTTTCTTTCTATAAACCAATTTCGATTATCCCAATTCAACATTCATCTGATAACAAATGTCAGCTATGTATGTTAACATATTTCCTGCATATATAAATCCCAATCACAATCACAGAAGCACATGCTCAAGCAAACAACACTCACTGCTAAAACAAACCACCTTATCACAAATAAAGGTTCTGTACTTCAGAACATACTGTACCCATCGTCATCGTTTGTTCCAAGGTAACACAAAATGGCCATGACAAGTACCAAAAAGGATGATAGTTCCATTGCCATGGCTCCCCAACCTATTACACCAGCATGCTTTAAGATAATTGGTATAGCAATGCTACCAACAACTGAAGCTCCAGTCATGAACTTTGTCGCGTCTACCCAACTGTTACTGAGATTGATTGTTAAAAAAAAAAAAAAAAAAAGGCAAGTATGAGGCTAAAATACATCTATATAAACAATATCAATTTGAAAACCAAGAATAATGCCATAACTTATACGATCTTAAAAAGAATAAAAAGGTGAAATCCTGTCTCAATCAGTTTTGAAGGAGGACTTTACCTACTTGCTGATTGGGAGAAAAGAGAGGAAGTATCTGACCCAGCAAAGAAAATCAGAGGCATAGGTAGAACAACATACATTAGTACTGCAAAGGAACAATGCAAGAATACGATTATAAGAAACCAGAACCATATATAATCATTTTGATATATTTCTTCAGAGATTGAGACTACTATGGTGGTTAAAAATCACTTGGTACTGAGATCTACGTTTAAACCTAATCCAAAGCAGATAGGTTCCCATATAGTTAAGATACAAATGGTCAGTTTCTGCACCAACATTTCACTTCAGATATGTTGCATTATTTGATCACTTTCAGCATTAAACTACAAAAATAATTGGCATGATTCATGCAGAGTGTATTTATATGCTCACCTATAATTAACTAATTTCTACAGATGCATAATCACTAGAGTAATGACGTTGATAATTACTATCTGAGCCCAGACATCGGATTATGATGCTTTAAAGGTTAATTTGTTATTATATAGCTTGTAGTTAGGATTTTTAACTCTTTGTTTGTTTAATTTAGGATTTTACTTATATGGTTTTCTCAACATGACATTATAAACATTCAGGTTTGGAATAAATTGAGGTTTAGTAATAATAGAATGTTTTACATGTCACATAATTTTACATGAAGTATAGCTAAAAGTAATGTTAAAACACAAATTCCAACATTTTCACTGTTTCTTCTCTGAAATTTGGAACACAATTCCAAGCCATTTAGACCCTCCAAATTGACGCAAATTTATACATCATAGAAAATGCATATATTTTAAACTTTTTCTTGATACCTTAGATTGCATTTCTATTGAATCTGGTTAGTTTGGCAAAAGCTTATTGGTGAAATATCCACAACTTAGAGTTCAGTGTAATGCTTGAATGATTTTAGATGAATTTAGGAGTTTTTTTTCACTATTGAACCTTATTTTCTGCTTGCAAATATGGATAAGCCAAAAAAATTTTGCATATAAACTACCTGTTAACATTGGCCACCAATTGTTGTACAAAGCACATGCCTGAAAAATCAGAAAAATGACTATAGTAGGATAATACTGTACATTTTATAGTAAATAAAGTGAAAGTAATTCACAAAACAGAATGAAACTCACCAGTATCTGCAACACAATGCCTCCTGACACCAGAATTGCTAACAAAGCCAGTTTCCCAGTTTGCAAGCAAGCTATCAAATAACGAGGCAAGTCTGCCATGCTAAACTTGATCAATTAGTACAGGAGACAACTGAAATAAATATTTTGTGGATTACATTTTGCAGTGAGAACTCAATGCATAAGGAAGAAATTAAAAACTAATGAGTAACACCGACAGATGAGGAGCTCAGATGATCCTATGCATTGATAACCCATGCGTGTGTGCTACTATATCCTATACTAACTGAACAATAGAAAATCCATATTTTAAGGTTCTTTTAAGTTATAAAGAAAATATACTAGATTCTAGAGTGCAGAAAGTTTGGTCAGACTCTCCCAGAAGAAACTACAGGCTTTTCGTCTAATGGAATGCAATTTTGCCTCATTACATAAGCTATATTCATATATACATACGTCAAGAAGAATAAGATTGCTCAAAATGACTGGCAGTCAAGATCAAAATAGATTTGAGTTTGAAGGATATATGATCATTCCCCTCAATGAGATATCCAAGAGTAGTTTACAACAGGAGACATCTAGGAAAAGAATCTGATAGGCCTCCAATTCTAGAAGAGCCCGGAAGAATTGAGAAGAATGTGCAGCAACAGAACTTTGTTATTATGGCAAACCGGGAAAGGGGGGAGGGGAGCTGTTAGAAAAGGTCTATAAATAGAGGGGCAAACTGTAGTAGTAGGAGGGGGAATAGTTGTTACCTTGTTCTGTTTTGCATTTCTTTGTAATTCTCTTAGAATTCAATAATAATTCTCAGTTTTTACTTTCTTCCAATGGAGTCCTATCAGAATCTAAGGGTGTGTTTGATTACATTTATTTTCCATGGAAAATATCAGTTTTCCATCCAAATTTTTACTTTGAGTGTTTGATTGCTATTTTTTTCCATGGAAAACATTTTCCAACTTTTGAAAATATGCCTAATTTTCCTTGTTTTTAAGGAAAATATTTTCCTTGGGTAGAGGTGGTTTTTATTTTCCACAAAAGATGGAAAATATTTTCTTTTCTATGTAATATTTTCCATGTCAATCAAACACACCCTAAGAGTAGAAATCTCTTTTCCCTGTGTTAGACAGGGACGAGGATATGACTAGTATATTAGAAAATCAATAAAAGAGAATGATTGATTTGAATTTTGCCTTATTGATTTGAATTTTGCCTTATTGATTTGAATTTTGCCTTACTATCCATATTCGATCAAAATTCTGGAGAGGTTGGAGAGTTGATGCTCGAATTTGACTGGTGGCCTTTTCTAATAGGTTAAATTAGTCTATTGATCTATACAGAAGACATTTTAAACGACAAAGTTAAAAGATGATAATTTTGCACTTTGACCATCTTGAGATGACAATTTTGAATCATGATACTCCTAAAGTTGCATTAATGCAGCATCCATATTTTTTCTAGAAACAAAAGTAAGGGTACTCCAATTGACAACAGCACAACAAGGTAGAACAAATTTCCGTAGTTGTCGTCCAGGAGAACAACAAAATTGGCATTTTTGCCACAATAGTGTTAAGTTTACAAGAATATTAATAAACTCTAGAGCTTCCGTTTCAAGTCAACTTCCTTTTATTTTTCTGTTTATTTTTCTTTTGAGCACAAGACCCCAATAATTTAAAGACCCAAAAACTTTTGTGGACATTAGAAATTGTTGATATTTACGTGTCAATAGTGGAGTTGAAATCAAGCCTTTGTTCTGCAAGAGAGTGCACATGTAAGTCTGCTCAGCCTTCCACAGGAAAAGGGGTGGATAGCAGACCACGCTCTGTTGCCTTAGTCCATGTCTGGATTTACAGAGAAGTCGAACTAGAAGAGTTTTAACTTAATTCTGTTCTTGCCTACCTGAAGCATGATGGCCAAAGTGGTATTTGTAGACAAGAAGGGATGTCTTCTAAACATACTATAGGCATGGATTTGTCTTACCTCGAGTAACTCCTAGTGGTTACTACCTATGTTCGCAGGTGACCTCAAAAGGGAGAATTATTAAAGTTCTACCATTGGCTTTCCAATGAATATCCCTTCAACTCGCATTAAACGCATACGACTGCAATAATGAACAATTAGCTGTTCTATACTAACGTAGGATTCACGATTTGGGATGACCTAAGCGGGATGGTTTCACATAAATGCAACTTGTTGGCTGGTTACTTTAGGATATAACCTTAAATAGATCTATCCTGAAGCTAGCCAGCTTCAAATCAGTCAGAACAACCCAACTTTGGATCAACAAATCCTTTTTCAAATAATTACACTTTGATTTTTCACTCTCATAACTATAATCATATAACATCTTTCGAATTTTTTTTATTACTATAATAAACATAATGTAGAACAATTAACAACATTTAAAAGTTCATTTCATACTGTTATTTCTTTATTCTATTTACGATAATAAAGCTACCAAATAAAACTGCTTTTGTTTCGTAATCGCTGGAATAAAAGGCATAAATCTTGGCAAAAAATTCAAGAGCAATATTGGGCATAAGATAATCGAGCTACTTTTCTAATTTCGAGTAAACTTCATCTTTTCCCCCAGAGAAACAAATCACGAGATGAGGTCTGAAATTTAAGTAATCAGCAAACGAAAAATAGTTAAATCGCGTTGGTAGCATAGAATTGTGAAATACAGACCATTTCACCAAAGGGATTCGAAGAATACATACCAGGTTAATAAGAGGTGATAGAGAGTACACGAAAATTAATTTAAATCTCTGGTTTTGAATTTTGGTTTATAATCCGATCGATCAATACGAGATTGGCACCATGAAACGTAATGGAATCTGCAATAAAAATCACATTTGATTGAGCCTCCTCCGTATACAAAATTATAAATCAGGTAAAAGGTACTGTGTGCACATATTCCATTTAAAAATAAATAAATAAGTAAATAAATCTATAAAAATTTAATTTTTAAATATACATCTCATTAACTTTGATCAAAATCTATAAAAAAAATTAATTTTTGTTCGAAACAAACACATGCTTGAATATCAAAATGGTGCCATCCTTATTTTAGAAGCTAGTAGTAAAGATCTTCGAACCACTTCTCATAATAGTATTGATCTATATTAATGATATTATCTTGTTCTCTGAACCTAAAGAGATTAACAAGTTACTACTTCAAACGTTTACAAATATCGTCTCGAAATACTGTGTCAT